CATCGCCTCAGAGCGCCATTGATGAGGAGACGGGGCCCGATAACTGTCTCTACAACCGGGCACCATTGCCTAGAAGACCAACAATGAAGTCTCCTCTTCCATCTATCGATCAATCCAAAACCACATCCAACAAGCCTGAAAGGATGACCGTTCCCCACCTGAAGGAATCCGATCATCCTGACCCATTTTGGAACAGTCGCCTGAGCTACGTGCAGGGCTACTAGCATTCGTGCACCATCCTCGACTACGAACCAAACTTGAATTTCGTTCCTGAACATGAGATGTGTATTTCCAGATTACGATGGAACATATCAGGAACGAGAAAGGAAAGGCACCATTGTACCCAAGAACAGGTGGATTCACACCCCAGGCAGCATACGACGCTCTCCGACGTGATGGAACAGGATTCTACCCTGACAAGGAGATGGAACTGTAAGGTGGTCATTTACGACCCATTGAAATTGAATCCGATATCCCAGTTCAGGAGGGACTTTTGCAAATTTGTCACTGAGAAATGCTGTCTTCAAATCCATATGAAAGATGTTCCAGGCTGCTTGCATCGCAAGGCAGAAACCACTCCTGGATGCAGCAGACTGTTTGTCTGCTGATCGTTCTTCTCCTCATCCTGCAAACCTTGCAGGGCCCAACGAGCCTTTGTCTTCAGAAAGTTTCCGTCCTTGTCTCGCTTGTACGAACCCAGCGACCGGTGACCCAGTTTCTGACCTGGCTCTAGTGTATCGACTAGGTCGAACACTCAAGCCAAGATTTGCGCTCGAGATGCTAAAAACTGCTTCGGCAAGTTGACTGGATTGTTCGGATTGAGATTGGTCGAAGCTGCAAGTTTGTTTCTGGGAGGGGATCCAGGTGAATCTTGATTCTCGCCTGGATTCTGCTTCTTCCAGTTTTTGGACTGCTCTGCACTGGGTGAGTTGTTTCCTCTTGCTCAAGGTGAGGCAGTTCAAGCTCTTCATCCTTATCTTCTGCTTCAGGGTTCGTCAGGATTGCTGGAGGTGAAGGAGCGGTTGAGATGGTGGCTGAGACGGCAAAGAGACATCACTCCCTAGTCGATTCAGTCACCTCAGCGGCAGCGGTGGGTCTACTGGACTGTCTGGCAAAACACCTGGTGGCGCCGGTGGCATGGGATGATAGGGTCGATCATTCTGATCAGGCTGATCTGGATCCTTCGGTGGATCCAACATGTGTTCGTCCGGCGGAGTCGGAAACTGGCATAATAGGATGATCCTGCTGATCAGGTGGCTGCTGGTTGTCAGGCTGACTAGGTTCATCTGGTGGACCCGAGGGACATTGGCTTGATAGCCGGCGCACTCGAAAAGGAGGAACGGAGGAAAGCAAGACTGCATGCCACGACTTCGGATTATAATTCCCAATTGCATTGATGCAGGCAGGGCCCAAACTCTGTGCAGCTGATCGGGTTGCCACAATGCTATGCATGCATCGTCCGGAGGTGATGTGATAGGCATGTTGATGCAAATTGTGTGGACGTATGCTGCGCATGCATCGTACTGAGTGGATGAGATGCACAGTTGTCTGAACTTCTTGCAGCCATTCCACATGCTCTGACATCGCCATTCGTGTAAATCCTGTCAAAAAATGTTCCGCAAGGTACTGCTTCATGGTCTTCTGAAACTTTTGGACTAGCGAATCTTGGATGACCAGCGGTTGAGCATTCTTATTGAAGGGAAGGTCTTGGATCTTAACAGCGTCGCTGCTGCTAGTCATGTTGAACTCCTTGTCAATGGCTTCCATTTCTTTCCTGAGAAGGTCAATCTGTTGATTGCTGAACGGCTCAAAGATGTCCTCAAGAAGGTACACTTCGTTGTCAAGCGGTTTCACCTTCAGGTGACACCGCGCGAGATCCTGGGCAGAACTGGTAAGGGTACACCTGTGCCAGCTTAGTCCTGCTTCCGAAGGTGCCAGCGTATCCTTCTAGGGGTTGATGCACCTCCGGAAAATCGGTCTCAGTACTTCACGAGGTAAGCAATGTGTCGGATCCTTCAGTCCGTATGCACAGAAATGAAAATCTCCCCAAGTTACTGATGGATCTGACAAGAGTTGCTGCATGCAATGCGCATACCAGATCTTGGATGTCTGAAATTTTTTTGATGATTAAATATCTTCAGTGCTTCAACTGATATCGCGCAGTGGACCATGTGTCTCTTGGATGTCATTACGTCAAATCCACTGCGAATGTTGACTGGTGTCCCAACCTTTGGACCTGAACAGCACTGACTGAATCTGGCACTTCCTGCAAAGATCTCGAGAACGTGGATCTTCCCGTTATGGACACAATTCCAGCGTGCCTGTTCAGGAATGGATGTCACGTCTTCCACGAACATGTTCTCTGCAGGTCTTGGTGCTGCAGGCTTGGGAGTCGTCTTTCCGGCAACGCGTAACGGTTTGGAGGTTGATGGTGCAAGGGTTCTTGCTCATCTGGCAACAAGGATCAAGATGGTCTCATCCTTCCTCACCTTTGTCATGTTGACTTTGATGAGTCGGGTTCCAAGGTCAAGTCCAACCATTGCTCCTTCCAGAGAAATGACTTTGCCTATTAGCCATATTCCTCCTTTGCTTCCGTCGGAACGAATCTTGGATAAATACCCCGCCATTCACCTGTAGAGGCTTGAACTCATTCGGAAATTCTGAGCAAGGTCTCTGCGGATGTCTTCGGATTGACGAGCTTGTTGGAATGCTTGTTTGGACAACTGCTTAATCTGGATGGCTGTCAGCTCTTCCTCATTCCTGTCAATCGTCAATTGAGTTGGAGTCGCGACATCAAGCATGTTTCCGTCAGGAAGGCTTGATCTCCAACAACTGATTTGGGCTGCCAGTGGTACTGGTCAAAATAGTTCCTGAGGACAGCGATGTTCTCCACTTTCGGCAATGTTGTTGCTCCATCCAGGATGACAAAAACAATGATATGTTCTCCCAGGTTCCAAGAGGAACCTGGCGATGATCAAATGTCATGTCTCCAAATGCGTCCGCTCGAAGTCCACTAGTTTTGCTTCTTGACGGTGCATGTTTGGCTGCTTGGCAAACTTCGCACTCACTTCGGATTTTGTCAACTAAGTCATCGGTAGATTTCGGCAAGTGAAGAGCGCGGGTTCAGAATCAAAATTGGTCGGTAGTCATGTGATGATGCTGAAGGTGCAGCTTCTTCAACTCTGCGGGCTTTGGAAAATCGCGGCGGTATCAGTGTCGGTTCGTCTGCGGATGGCGCAGTAGGATCTGGCTCAATGGTCGACCGGCCTTTCTTGTCGATGATCCTGTCTGCTGCAGACCCTGCGTCTTTTAGCGGATTGTCCGCGAAGGTGAAAATGCTTCCGTTGTCCAGGATCGCATAGGTCGGATTGTGCTGAGGGTTGATGACAGGCGCCATCAGCTTTGTTGCCAAGAGGCTCTGCTTTGTTGCGGCGGACAAGTTGTGTTCTGAAGCTGTATCATCTTGGATCAGCTTCTCGTGGATGGCTTCTTTCTCATGCTGCTGAAATGCGTCATGGAATGCTATTATTGCTTATCCTGTGGTACCAGCCTGATTCACTCCTGCTGGATCCCAATCTTGGTCTGTCCAACCGGCGTATGTAAGCTCTGTGCATGGTGCAATCTGCTGATTGGCGGACTACTCCTCCAAATTCTCTGCCGTGGCTGCGAACGTTTTGGATTTTCCTTTGTCAGGTCCGCCCTTTCCTTTGCCACTGTCATAGGATGGAAGAGATCCTGATTTTCGTTGGCCATGTTGGGTGACTGCCCTTTTTGCTTCCTGATTTTCCTTTTCCTTTTCTCTTCTTGAATCTGAAATTTTGCCCAGACACTTTCCTTGCAATGAACGCATCATTCTCCTCCAAAACCCAAAAAGTCTCTTCATCATTGGAATCATTGGTTGCCACGAATGAATCCTTCCAGTCCTTCTTCATCTTCCACCCAAAAACCTTCTTCGCCTTCATGCCCCCTTGTTCTAGGATGTAGAAGGTGTTACTCAGACTTTTTTCAGGAGGTCGGATGGATCGATCTTGGATGGATGTTCTGGTCGTAATGAAGAGATCATGATACTGAGTCTTCATCATCTCACAGGTGTAATTCTCGAGCGAGATGTTTCTCAAAGACATTGCACTGATCAGCCTTTCTCTCTGCTGATCCGCAATGAGATTGTCGCTGAGTGGAAATGCGTCCTTGGATTGTCTGTGGACAGCAGATCTGGAGGCGTGGCTCATCAAGTCCAGGCTGCCTTCAATCTTATCAAGAGAATTTCAAACTTTGATGCGAATATGAGGAACTTGGTGTTCTGCCTTCTGTGATTGAAGAAACCGAGAAGTCTGTATAAGTACACGTTCGTCGAGCCATTCAGGAAGAACTTCTTCAGCGTGTTCTTGAAATAGTTGACTCTTTCTAGGACTGCCTTGTACGTGGGCATCTCCGATGAGTCTGCCCTTGAGGAGTGGTCCTCTCTTGGATGCCTCGATGGTGGTCCCAATCATCTACAAGTTCTTCATATCTAAACCAGCTGACTTTTCCGTCGTACGATGGCGGCTGCTTGGCGGTCATCGATAAACTGAGCGTCTCTTCAATGAAGCCGGATGATCGGCCTACACTTGAATAGGCCTCCACGAAGCCTTCTCCATTGGATGACATCTTGTTTGGATCTCTGCGGAAAACCTGCCCCGCTACCACAATTGAGGCCCACTGCCAGGGGCATCTTATCCGCGAAGGGAACCGATGCCTTGTGGTAGCAGAGGATCTTTCTGTGATAGGTCCCTGAATCTATTCCGGGGAGTCCAAGTGTCAACACTGATGGATTGATACTGGATTAGCCCTGGTTGATTGTGTTCTGTGTTTTGCCCTGAAAGTGGTCCGCTGTGTGACATGAAAGGCCTTGAGCCAAAATGGTGTTGCACGGGGACCAATGGGTCCGAACAACAAACACAGAGGGGGGGTTCGCAGATTGCATTTTGCGTTGCGCATGTTGGCGTTGACCTGACTGGCAGGCTTAGAAGCATTGCCCTTGGGGAATGCCATGTCCTTGGATTCAAGTTTGCCAGCGGGTGGGTCCAGCACGAGCCACCGCCTGGGCTTAGGTTGACAAAGCCGCGTGGAGCGCTGCGTGGAAGAAGCTGCAAGACAAATTGGGAACGGGCGGGTGCGCAGAGGAAAAGGGCCATGCCACGCTGCGCGCTTGCTTTTGCCGTACAGCAGAGGGTTTGCAAGGCTCGCGGTCTCATCGCAGCTACCTTTCCAAAATTCCGGGCGACCTGTTTGGGGATTGACAGAGCGCGAAGCCTGAAAGAGCGCAGAGTGGTGATGAGTGCTCCATTTTACAGGTGGGGCCTGCAGACCACATCTATAAATCTATAAGCCCTCTCCTAGAACCAAAAATGTTGTGATTTGGAGTTGCTTTTTGGGGTTTTGGAAGTCGGGATTGTAGGGTAGGCGCGGTAAAGATGTGATAGGAAGTTGTGTTTTTGCAATTTCGTAGCTCGGGTTCGTAGGAGGTACGGTGAAGAAACACATAGAGTTGAGTAGAGTTTCAAAATTTTCTGGGCAGTGGTTAACTGCTGTGTTTGCAGTTAATGGCTTTGTTTGCAGTTAACGGCCTTTCTTGCAGTTAACGGCTTTGTTTGCGGTTAACGGCTTTGATTGCAGTTAACGGCTTTGTTTGCGGTTAACGGCTTTGTTTGCAGCTCACGGCTTTGTTTGCAGTTCACGGCTTTGTTTGCAGTTCACGGCTTTGTTTGCAGTTCACGGCTTTGTTTGCAGTTAACGGCTTTGTTTGCAGTTAACGGCTTTGTTTGCAGTTAACGGCTTTGTTTGCAGTTAACGGCTTTGCTTGCACATAACGGCTGTGTTTGCAGGTCACGGCTTTGTTTGCAGTGGCTTTGTTTGCAGTTGACGGCTTTGTTCGGTTAACGTCTTTGTTTGGGCTTAAATTGTTTGCTTGCAGGTCACTGAATTGTTTGCAGTCAACTGGTTTGTTTGCAGTTAACTGCTTTGTTTGCTTTTAACTGCTTTGTTTGCAGCTAACTGCTGTGTTTGCAGTTAACTGCTTTGATTGCAGTTAACTGCTTTGTTTGCAGTTAACTGCTTTGTTTGCAGTTCACGGCTTTGTTTGCAGTTCACGGCTTGATTTGCAGTTCACGGCATAATTTGCAGTTGATTGACAAAGAAGTTAACTGCAAACAAAGCAGTTAACTGCAAATTAAGCCGTTAACGGCTTTGTTTGCAGTTCAAAGCTTTGTTTGCAATTAACGGTATTGTTTGCAGTTCACGGCTTGGTTTGCAGTTAACGGCCTTTCTTGCAGTTAACGGCTTGGTTTGCGGTTAACGGCTTTGTTTGCAGTTCACGGCTTTGTTTGCAGTTCACGGCTTTGTTTGCAGTGAACGGCTTTGTTTGCAGTGAACGGCTTTGTTTGCAGTGAACGGCTTTGTTTCCAGCTCACGGCTTTGTTTGCAGTTCACGGCTTTGTTTGCAGTTAATGGCTTTGTTTGCAGTTCGCGGCTTTGTTTGCAGTTCGCGGCTTTGTTTGCAGGTCACGGCTTTGTTTGCAGTTCACGGCTTTGTTTGCAGTTAACGTCTTTGTTTGCAGTTCACGTCTTTGTTTGCAGTTCACGGCTTTGTTTGCAGTTCACGGCTTTGTTTGCAGTTAATGGCTTTGTTTGCAGTTCGCGGCTTTGTTTGCAGTTCGCGGCTTTGTTTGCAGGTCACGGCTTTGTTTGCAGTTCGCGGCTTTGTTTGCAGTTCACGTCTTTGTTTGCAGTTCACGGCTTTGTTTGCAGTTCACGTCTTTGTTTGCAGTTCACGGCTTTGTTTGCAGTTCGCGGCTTTGTTTGCAGTTCGCGGCTTTGTTTGCAGTTCACGTCTTTGTTTGCAGTTCACTGCTTTGTTTGCAGTTCGCGGCTTTGTTTGCAGTTCACGTCTTTGTTTGCAGTTCGCGGCTTTGTTTGCAGGTCACGGCTTTGTTTGCAGTTCACGTCTTTGTTTGCAGTTCACGGCTTTGTTTGCAGTTCGCGGCTTTGTTTGCAGTTCACGTCTTTGTTTGCAGTTCGCGGCTTTGTTTGCAGGTCACGGCTTTGTTTGCAGTTCACGGCTTTGTTTGCAGTTCGCGGCTTTGTTTGCAGTTCGCGGCTTTGTTTGCAGTTCGCGGCTTTGTTTGCAGTTCGCGGCTTTGTTTGCAGTTCACGGCTTTGTTTGCAGTTCACGGCTTTGTTTGCAGTTCACGGCTTTGTTTGCAGTTCGCGGCTTTGTTTGCAGTTTGCGGCTTTGTTTGCAGGTCACGGCTTTGTTTGCAGTTCGCGGCTTTGTTTGCAGTTCGCGGCTTTGTTTGCAGGTCGTGGCTTTGTTTGCAGGTCACGGCTTTGTTTGCAGTTCACGGCTTTGTTTGCAGTTCACGGCTTTGTTTGCAGTTCGCGGCTTTGTTTGCAGTTCGCGGCTTTGTTTGCAGTTCGCGGCTTTGTTTGCAGTTCGCGGCTTTGTTTGCAGTTCGCGGCTTTGTTTGCAGGTCACGGCTTTGTTTGCAGTTCGCGGCTTTGTTTGCAGGTCACGGCTTTGTTTGCAGTTCACGGCTTTGTTTGCAGTTCATGGCTTTGTTTGCAGTTCGCGGCTTTGTTTGCAGTTCGCGGCTTTGTTTGCAGTTCGTGGCTTTGTTTGCAGGTCACGGCTTTGTTTGCAGTTCACGGCTTTGTTTGCAGTTCATGGCTTTGTTTGCAGTTCGCGGCTTTGTTTGCAGTTCGCGGCTTTGTTTGCAGTTCGCGGCAGGTCACGGCTTTGTTTGCAGTTCGCGGCTTTGTTTGCATTTATTTATTGGGATAGGAGATGGAGTCGGGCGCATCCCTTGAGGCTTGTGCATTGGTTTGAGGATCTGTGGAAGCACGACACGGTGGCATGTTGGGACCTTGCGTCACTGCTCAGGGCCAGTCCCTCAGCCCCGCAGTCACAGCAGCTCGAGCGTATCTTTGTGAGCTTGACACCCGCTGGCAGTCAGCGAGTGCAGTTTTCATTGACCATAGATACGATGGGTTTTCGCCTTGAACAGCCCCGACCAAAATTATGTTTGGGTGAGACTGTTGGAAGACAGGGCAACGGGCGCTAGACTTCTTCATATTGCAACAAAAGGTGTTCTCAGTGCTAGACTGGCCTTCCTGCAAGGCAGCACTTTATCACGTTGCCCAGAGTGCCACCTGCAAGGCGGTGCCGCCTCGCAACCAGCCCCAGCAGTGTGGGTCTGTCAGCTGGGAAGCCCTGCCTGGACCTTACCAGCAGTTTGCAGTCTTGCCTGCCCTGCATTCATGTTCAAGCAAAGCTGTCAAAGGGTCGATTTTTTTCTCAGAAGAACTCCCAACTTGTCTCCCACCTCCAAAATCGGATTCATAGAGATGTCTTATACTTTGCTACTGTTTGACCTCCTGACCTTGCAGGGCGTGAGTGGCGGCTTCCAGCTCGCTGGCAATGCTTTTCCAATCGACCCAATGCCGCAATACATAGCACTCCTGACATGTACTTGAGCGTAGTTGAATGCGATTTGATCGCACGCTTCTTTGTGTGAACTTGAGCTTTGATAAGATGCTGCGCGTCTTAGCTTCAATGTTTGTCAGGCATACTTGAAGAAAGTGCAGACCTCAAGCCGAACTTCGCTCATCCTGTCTTAGTTGTTGGCAGAAGGGCGATGACAAAGATTGAAGTTTTGAGTGTCCATTTTTACACCTCTTGCAACCCATGAAATCAGGCAATCAAAGCGGAGGAGGAACTGTCCATCGCAGCATCCAAGATGGACCTCTACAGCCAGAAGGAGAGCTTTACCTGTCAAACCCAGTCCTGTTCCGTGTCTCAGCTGAAACTTTGCAGGACGACCGCTGGGTCAAAGATGAAGAAGCAGAAGTTAATTGCGGCAAGTCAAAGCCCAGCACTTGGTTCCGATGCCTTTCGGCTTCGGGTTTTGCAATCGCCCAGCTCTGAGGGAAGATTGCTATGGCTTCGTGCCATCAGCGGGAGGAGCCGCATTTGAGGCACCTCAGTGTTCTGCACGGGAGCTCACTTGTGTTGCGGGCCTGGTCGTCTCACGTTCTTGGCCGAGGCCCAGCAGGTATTCATTGTGGCTTTGCAGCGTGACTTTTTGAAGGGTTAGGGAGGTCAATGCTGCAATGCTCACATGTTAATGAAGCTGTGGTGCTCAAGACAAACAGGGAATGCATGCAACGGGTTCAGGGCCAGCAACAGTGCAACGGGTGCTGGTTAACAGCTGTTCATCGAGGCATTCCTCCTTGAAGTGTGGAGGAAAGAATTGTGCTCGTGGCTTGCCAGTTTGATGTTTTTGAGGCAACTTGTGCACAATTGTTTGATGCTTGCAAACGAAACTCCATATTGCTATTTGTTGAGCGTGGCGCTCAGAGAAGCTTGTTGAACAGCAGCCGATAACAATTCATCATGCCAAACTACCAGCGCCAGTGCTAATGAGCATCATTGCAGAACGCGCGCGTGCGAACCAATAGCATGGGAGAAAGGCATGGAGCGACAATGTCATTAAATCCGGAATGGCGGTACCATGTGATCATGAAGCGCCAATGGCTGAAGCTGATATTTTTTCTGCTGACTGTGAACCATTTCACCAGCCAGGTCCTCTCTCTCTCTCTCTCGGCTTTCTTGGAGCAAGGAGAAGAGGCGGGTGTTACGATGAAGAAGCATGTGATTGTCAGGGCTGAGTGGGGGCAGCCGAGGTGAGTGCAAGTTTGGCAGAGTACCTCACTCATGAGAGCCATAAAGTGCTTTCAGACATTAATCGGTGCCGTTCCATTCTTAGAGCCTGGTGGCGATGTCCCGGCTTCTGCCGAGCAGTTGGTCAACAAGCTCTGGAATGTTTTGGAACAATCAAGTCAGACCTCCAATCATTCCCTCGCGGTGCAGTTGCACAGCAGCCCATTACGGATACTGCATTTGAGCAACTTATGATGGCTGTTTTGAAGGACAGCAAACCCAATGGTTGCTCAGTGGTGCACGCAGACCCGGAATTGGGAAATCAGTGGCAACAGCACTAGCGAAACAAAGACAGACCTCGGAGTTTACAATTCAGGTCTTATTGCAGGGGGATTTTACGAAGAATGTCCGGGGACTTTTTCCGCGTGTCGGACCCTGCAGTAGCTACAGATGTTGCTTGGGCCCTTTTCCTTCTCCTGGAAGAGCAGGGCATCCGCTTGCAGATCATATTCGACAATACCTTTGATGGTGGCGTCGGGATCGAGCGCAGTACTTTCATGGACCTCATTCAAGCTGCCTTTCAGTATGGCCACCACTTGATAGTGGTTGTTCAATCCACGGAAGCAGCGAACCAGGTTGCCGACCTCAATGGAGCACGGACTCGGCAAGCACCGCAGCAGCACGAGGAGGAGCGTGTCTACGTGGGGTCAAGAGCAGACAAGAATGTACTTGGAGAGGGGAGGCAGCAAAGAGCAGCAGTTGGAGGGCAGTTCATGGAGGTTCTGAACATGACCCAAGTTCCCGATGACTTTGGGCGTTGGAAACGGTTGACATCGACGAGTATTTGCCACAGACTGGTCGCATTCCAAGCGCCCCACGCCGAGCAGGGCAAGGTGGAAGCCTGAAATAGCTCAAACGCGCTGGGCTTGTGGAAAATTGGCTTTGTGTTGAGGAAGATCAACGGCAGAAGTTGCTTCTTTTGATGAAAGCTGTAGTCCTTACGTGTGGTCCAAAGCATTTTTTGTTTTGCGTAGGGTTTGCATGGTCCCTGGCCCACGCGAGAAATGGGCTGTCATCCCATCATCCTATCACGACATGAAGCTGCTGATTGTCCATGAGCTCGAAAGTATTCCTTTGCCAACATCAGGACGGCGTTTCACAAATTGCAATGTGGTGTGTTTTGTTTTGTTTGCATGTTGTGATTCAAAGCAGGAGGCGGGTGATGGTGCGCTTGTTGGTTTCAATGTAGCTATCGAACTCATAGAGCTTGTTTAGTTTTAGGTGGACAATCATGAAAGTGCTAGATTAAAAGCAATCACCCATGCCTTTTCCCTGCAAGGTGGCACTGGGACTGCACCACCAGCTGTTTGTGCGAGACAACTCCACAAGGACTGCAGGGCAGTGCATTCATGACTGGTTCAAGTCATGTTGGTTTTAGGAAAGGTCTGTCGTCTGCAGCAAATTTTGGAAGGATGGTTTTCCCTCAAAGAGTCGCCGACCTCCAAAATTGAAGGTGTTTGTGAGAATTGCAGAGCCCCGCGCTGCCGCGCATAGGTTAAACGGAGTCAAAGGAGCCTTTGCAAACGCAGCGGCCTCAGCTGCACCACTGGATAAAGGATTTACCTCAGCTCTGTTTTGCCTTTGGAAATGTTCCTTCATGCTTCGCGGTCTGCAAGTTCCCGAACTCTTCATGATCACCACACAAGCCCACTGAAGCCTCCATCCTGAATAGTCTCATTGGGCCGCGGCCCCGTGTTCCTGCAGAGTTGATCTCACTATATTATGTTGATTCCTTTCTGACAGACGGAAGAGTATGTACCATCTTGAAGCGGTGACCGTAGCCATTAGTCCCAAGCTACCTTATACCTTACAATTGCTGCCGCCTGGCAGAACTCTCACAAGTCCATGCCGATGAATCTCGCCGCGTGGCCATCATGCTTCCTCCTGCTTCTTTGCACGGGCTCGCCTCTCCCAGCTGCAGTTGCTGCTGACGCTGCGTCTGCAGGCAGCTGTGAGACTACCGGCAGCTCAGATGCTGACGCTTACGTCAGTGGAGGGAGGGCAGCTGCTTCAGCAGCACTGCTGCAGCACCAGCAAAAGCTGCTTGCAGCAGAGGCTGTGCCGAAGCCGCAGTTGCAGCAGCCGGGCCTGCTAGAGGAAGATTTCGCGGAGGTGCCTGATGAGGGCGAGGAAGGAAGCCATGAAGCCGAGGAGGATGAACAGAAAGCCGAGGATGAGTACATGGAGGCCGAAGTCGAGGAAGGAAACCGTGAAGATGAGGAGCGTGACGTGGGCGAAGGAAGCCATGAAGCCAAGGAGAATGAAGCCAAGGAAGGAGTCCATGAAGCCGCGGAGGAGGTGCGCCGCAGTCCAGAAACCAGAGCACTTCTGAGCACCAGGTCGGAGGCAGCAATGCGAAAGAGGAGTTGCAATTACTGCATCTGCGCAGTAACCTCAGCAGCCCTTTGTGGAACGAGCACGGTCACAAATGCTGCAATCTGTGGGTCTGACAGCATCACGGATGGGGCTAAGTGTGGCTGGAACTTTTTCCAGAGCTGCGACACTCGACGTCGCAGGCGTTGGCAGAACAAGTTCAAAGTGAAGTGCAAAACTGGCCAGACAGCTAAGAGTTGCTCCGTCGCCAAGTCCTGTCCAGTGGCCAACGACTGTGACGTCGGCAGCTCCTTTGGCGAGTGCTTCAATGAGCTTTCTGCGACTTTGGGATCAAACGAAAAGACCTATGCGAAGCTGATCACGGACACAGGCTGTTCAAGCACTGGCTCGTGCTCGAGCAAGGCGAAAGGTGGGCTGTCATCTTCGACGAATCTGATGCTGGAGAAGATCCTCGCAGAGGCCAAGGTATTGGCCACCAACCTCATCGGCAGTGGCATGCCTTTTGTCACCAATGTCTACAGCAAGGCCAAGGACTTGGCCCCAAAGGTGAAGGATAAGGCGGTGCGGATCTCCAGCAGCCTGTCTGAGTTCATCTCCGGGGCCCTGCCCACCTACTCCAAGTACGACCTCGGAGACGTGTGTTCGTCCTCAAATTCTGGTTTCTGGTACATGACCCCGACGGATTGCGAGCTCTTCTCGGCCATGTCGAGCATCGATGCGAACAACCCGCAAGCCAAGTTTACGTCGGCAAAGGACAAGCTCAAGACGTGCGTGAGCAAGACAGGCCTGCTCGGCGTCCCGACGCCTTTCTGGGACTTGAAGTTTGCAGGCTGGTGCCTGCCCTCACCGGTGGTGACAGGATTGGAGTACTTCATGGGGGCGCTGGTGTGGGAGGGCAGTGCTTTCGACGGCACTCGGGCAGCCATCCCCTCTGTGCAGACTTTACGCACAGCCGTCTCCGAAATCAAATCCTTGGTCGCTGACTTTGCAAGTGACTCTGGCATCGGCCTCATGCAACTTGGGCGCGACGTGCTGCGCGCCCGGGAGGGTCGTAAAGAGGATGTGAGCTCCAGGTCCGGCTGCGGCTCCAACGCCAATTGGGGACTGGGGCTGGACGTGGCGTTTGAACTGACCGTCGCCGCAGCTGGCACTACCCAGACCTTTTCAGTATCTTTGGGCATCCTCTCCGGCTGCAAGGGCAACTCAGCCGTCCTCCCGAACCTGATCCTGCGATTTGGCAAATCTCAAGGTGCCACCACTTCGGCAGGAGGTGCCTCTACAGCCATTACAACACAGATCCATTTCTACGAGACCTACCCAGCCTTCACAAACAGATTCGCTTTCCAAGCGTCTCTGGACATCACGCCGGAGGTGGAGCTCACTGGAATCATCGGGGTTCCCTTGGCGGCAGGCGTGCCCATCTCCTTTGGCATCTATCCCAGCCCAGCTGCGCACTGCTTAGATGTTTCACACAGCCTCGAACACTGGCCTCGAACACTCTTTTTTTGACTCTGTTTTGGACCGTCTAAGGTGCCCAGTCAGTTCAGCTTCCAGGTTTCGGTGGAGGTTGGCGGTGATTTGAAACAGATAGGCAGCGAGCTCAAGGCGCTAACCCTGGAAGCAAGCCAGAGGGCCGAAGAGGCTGGGGGCAACGGCATCATGGCGGGACTGGCCACAGCCGCGGATCATCTCGGTCGCAACGCGCACCTCTTCAAGAGTCACTTCCAGAGCCAGACTTCGCAGAGCAAGAGCCACGCCAAGGAGCTCGGCAAGTACTTCCGCAAACATGGCCGGGAGTTTGTCGCGGCAGGCGCTCGCAAGTCGTGGAACCGCGATGCAGCAGCCTCCGCTGATGACCGCAACAGCGAGAAAAGCACGATATCAACCCTACAGAGCTTTCAAGCTCCTCAGCCTGGGGACATCTCCGTCGAGGCAAGTGTTGAATTCACGTTTTGCATCACTCCGCTCCAATGCTACGGCTCCTGAATACACAGGATATAGCACTAGTAGATGAAACATTATTATATGAATGAACTCATATTCTAACTTAAAATTTGTATAATTTAAATTGGAACATACAACAATTGATATTTCAACTGTATTTTATACATTTTGAAATGTCCGCATACTTGTTTTGGAATTAAATTTTTACTATTTATAATTTAAAATGATTTATTGATGAGTCTTTTCAATATTAATGTATTTTGATTTGATATACATATACGCCTACATTTAGGCTTAACTCAGCACCTGCCATCCGCAGGTCCTCTTCGGGCTGAAGGAAGTCATGAAGCGACGGCCGGACCTGAAGCTGGTGGTGATGCGCCCCGGCTGGAAGCGCACCAGATGGGTAGGGAATGGGGGCTGGGTGGGGGCAAGAACTTGGGGCAGCAGTTGAATTCCCCGAACCGGCTGAAGATCGATGGCGCGATCTGCAAAACGAGATTGGCTGAGGTGCACCTCGTCATCCGGGGCAAAGCCTCTATTCAAAGTGTCCCAGGCTTGCGTGGGTTTCCCCGACTTTACCCACGTTCTGTGGTGGTTAGGTCCTCACCCAACTGGCATGTTTCTTCCATCCACAGTACAAAACCTTACATTTCCCGCTGAACTGCCTTTTTGGGTGTCCTCCAAAAATGCAACTGGGGGGTCCCCCGTACTCCCACCTATAAGGGCCCCGTGGTTGGAGTGGCGGCCTTGAATTTGGACCGAAATATGCAAGAGGTAAACACTGCGTGAAGTGCAACTCATGGGATTTTTTCTTGTGCCGCAAGTGTGCCCATTGGGTCATGAGATCTGGATCGGCGATGTCTACTTTCCAGCAAGCCCATGAGATCACATTATGATGATTTTGTGACAACCATGCCATACCTGGCTCTCTGAATCTGGGAGGCTACTGATCGCCAACAGCAGGGCTTGCCCTTTGCCCCCGCTTCGTTGCAAACAAGGTGCCCGTCAAAGCAGGGCCAACCCTCCTTGCAGGGAGGGCTGCTTTCATTTTTCCGTGGCTTCAGCTGAGGTCCGCCACGATGGAGGCGCAGAAGATGCAGGGCTACTTCGCAGGGGGCCTCAGCACAGCCGGCCGGAGCTTCCGACGAAAGCGCAAAGCAGCAACGAACGGGCAAGCATGTGTGCATGTACACATACATATTCAAGGGCTGCCGCCCAGTGCCGCCGACCCCGAACCAGGTTAAGAATGGCTGAGATGAACGGGGCGGCTTCAAAATTAGCGGAGTCGTTTGGGAAACACGGGACCTGCGCTCATTCTGGAGCGATCGCTTTCTTTCCTTGGCTTGGTGCATTTGTGTAATAATCTGGTAAGAGAATGCGCCGCTGTAAGTGCCTACAATTCTGCTGCTGCTGGGAGCATGTGCCGTGACAATGCGTTTGCAGTAGAGGCTCATCGCCGGTCACCCCGCAAGCCAACCAGTTTTCTCGCCGCAAGTCGGGGCCGCGATGGGTCCCTTATTGTAGCCAGGGCGCGGTGCATTTTTGCTTTGCTTTCGCGTGAAAATGCACCGCTTTTATGACGACGATGATGATGATGCTGATGATGATGATGCTGATGCTGAACTGACATGATAATCATCATGACGCATCCTCAGCCCTTTGTCAGAACTAGCGCTCCAGAGCATGACTGGAACGTACAAGACACGCAAGCGGGTGACTGTGCATTTTGGTCACTTTCAAGCCTACGTCATGCCTTGGCAATGCGTGCCCGAGCCAGAGCAAAGCAGTCGAGCGTCTAGTCTCGAGCTCTAGTATTGCGCACGGAGCACAGTACGACACACATGCACATTCTAGCAGAGCACATGTTACGCTTGCGTAGCGAGGAGATCTGCTTGTGACGTTCAAACTATAAGTGGCTTGCTTGGAAGCTCCGAGTGCTGGGTACAGGAATGATTCTACTGCGCCCTCAGCTGTTGCCGAACTCCCCAAGCTTAAACTCGCCCCACACTGCCAGCGCATGCATACCCACAAGAGTGCATAAACTTGCGAATCGGCTTTGGTCGTGCTTTGGCAGCTTCGGTCGTGATTTGGCAGCTTCCGGTCGTGCTTCGGCAGCGTCGGTCGTGATTTGGCAGCTTCCGGTCGTGCTTCGGCAGCGTCGGTCTTGATTTGGCAGCCTCGGCCATGCTTTGGCAGCTTCGGTCGTGGCTGAATATCGCTAAATATCACAGCTTGGACCACTTAAGCCAATTAGTTTTCTCGCCGCAAGTCGGGGCCGCGATGGGTCCAACGCTACCCTTGAAACGTATACAAAAAAGATAAGCAACATCATGTCTACGCATCCTCTGCATCTCCAATAAGGTCACAACTATGATGCATCATCATCGTCATCATCGTCGTCATCACCGTTGTCATCATGGATGGTAACCATCATCCTGCATCCTCTGCATCACCAGCACCCATGATGAAAATCATGTCTACGCATCCTCTGCATCTCCAATCAGGTCACAACAATGACGATGAGCATGTCGTCATCATCATCATCGTCATCGTCATCATCACCGTTACCATCATCGTGCATCCTTTGCATCACCAACAGTCATGATGATAATCATCACTACGCACCCTCTGCATCTCCAATCGGCTCTAGCGCCCCTTGAAACGTAAATAAAAGAGATAAGGACGACAACGATTATGATGTGATATACTGACAAGCGTGTCATCATCATCATCATCGTCATCGTCATCATCACCGTTGTCACGGACGATAAGCATCATCGTGCATCCTCTGCAATCGTCCATGATGACAACGGTGATGATGACGATGACGACGATAATGATGATGATGATGACGATGATGAGGATGACACACTCATCGCCATCACATCATCATTGTGACCTGATTGGAGATGTAGAGGATGCGTACACATGATTATCATCATGGCTGCTGGTGATGCAGAGGATGCACGATGATGGTTATCATCCAGGATGATGACGATGACGACGACGATGATGACGATGATGATGATACCATGATGTTGATGATGACATGCTCATCATCATCACATCATCATCGTTGTGACCTGATTGGAGATGCAGAGGATGCGTAGACATGATGTTGTCGTCCCATCATCGTGCATCTTCTGCATCACCAACAGTCATGATGATAATCATGACTACGCACCCTCTGTACCTCCAATCGGCTCTAACGCTACCCTTGCATCTCCAATCAGGTCACAACGATGATGATGTGATGATGATGAGCATGTCATCATCACCATGATGGTATCATCATCATCGTGATCATCATCGTCGTCATCATCGTCATCATCGTCATCGTCACCGATGTCACCATGGATGATAACCATCATCGTGCATCCTCTGCATCACCAGCAGTCAGGATGATAATCATTTCTACGCATCCTCAGGTCTCATCATCGTCATCATCATCATCGTCATCATCATCATCGTCATCGTCATCATCACCGTTGTCATCATGAACGATAACCATCATCGTGCATCCTCTGCATCACCAACAGTCATGATGATAATCATGACTACGCACCCTATGCATCTCCAATCGGCTCTAACGGGACTGATGGTGATCATGGGTGATAACCATCATCGTGCATCCTCTGCATCACCAGCAGTCATAGTGATAATCATGTCTACGCATCCTCTGCATCTCCAATCAGGTCACAGCGATGATGATGTGATGATGATAAGCATGTCATCATCGCCATGATGGTGGTCATTATCGTCATCATCATCATCATCGTTATCATCATCATTGTCATCATCGTCATCCTCATCATCATCGTCATCATCATGGATGATAACCATCATCGTGCATCCTCTGCATCACCAGCAGTCGTGATGATGATCATGTCTACGCATCCTCTACATCTCCAGTCAGGTCACAACGATGATGATGTGATGACGATGAGCATGTCATCATCATCATCAGCAGCATCATCATTATCATCGTCATCGTCGTCATCACCGTTGTCATCATGGACGATAACCATCATCGTGCATCTTCTGCATCACCAACAGTCATGATGATAATCATGACTACGCACCCTCTGCATCTCCAATCGGCTCTAACGCTACCTTGGAAACGTATGTAAACAAAACAGATAAGGACGACAACATCATGTCTACGCATCCTCTGCATCTCCAATCAGGTCATCGTGCATCTTTTGCATCACCAACAGTCATGATGATAATCATGACTACGCACCCTCTGCATCTCCAATCGTGTCTAACGCTACCCTTGAAACTCATATAAAAAGATAAGGACGACAAGGATGATGTTTGATATAATGACAAGCGTGTCATCATCATCATCATCATCATCATCTGATGTCTGGCTCTAGCAGGACACTTGAAACGCACAGGAAAAAGACACGGATGACGACAATAATGATCATGATGACGAAAGACACGTCTTTGAGGTGCAAAGGATGCTACGATGACGGTATTGCTTACGCTGATAATGCTGAATCTTCGGCTGTGCTCATTTACCAACCAACCTTGGACTTGTGCTGTAACCACCCTTCCCGTGCGCCTCCCCCTTTGAGGAGAAGGGGTCGGCGGATACCGGGCCAAAACTAGGTCAGCAACGTGCACCGCATTGCACCGCTGTTCCAGTCGGGAAAGTATTACTGTAGGCTCCAAGCGGGCTCAACGTGAGTTTGCATGCGCTTTGTGCAAGTGAAGCAAGCTCCTTTGAGCCGCCTTCCTGTTCCTTAGGATTTTGATTTGGTCTTCAGTGGAAACGGCCATGGCAACTATTCACCAACCTTTCAAAAGGAATCTGCAACACGGGCATTTAGAGGCTCATCAGTTGATGCCATGCATGTAGATTGTCCAGACATCAGTCTTGACCCTTCCGCAGCTGAAGGGCCCTTTTGCTTGTAGCCGAGCCAGACATTGGCCACGACCCCTAGTAGTCAGTCAGCTGCACAGGCGGCTTGAGAGGAAACAAGGCTTGGCGCCATTCGCTCCCCGCGCTACTCCCGCTGCATTGGTAGCGGAGCAGGAGGCAACGATTCAGTGCTTCCTGCTGAGCCTGATCAAGTGCACCAAGAACGTTCAGGAACGTGTGCACAGCTACTTGATCGCCTCGAGCCTAAATCTCTAAGAGACTCTGATCTTTGACTGCGTCGAGCCCTTTGGTACGACCCAGCAAAAGATCATCGCTCAGGACTTCAAGATTGGCACGTTCCCGGACGGCGAAGTAGCCGACCATCTTCCATCCTGGGATGGTCAGGCGCGACCAGGGTACAAGGAAGTGGCCTGGTGCGCACAGTCAACACCAGCCCACAAGCGCAGGTACCTGGCGGCAAAGCTCATAGGCCGACTTCGGGGCCCCGCAAGGCTCCTAGCCATGTCATGGTCAAGGGCTGACTTTGATCATGCCGATGGAGTACTTCAACTGCTTCAACGACTTGCGGCCTCGCCCCTCGTCAGGAAGTCGTTACCGAATGCCGCGGCAATCATGCAGCAGTACTTCTCCTTCAAGAGGAATCTCGGCGAGGGCATCGGCAACTTCCTGGTGAGGGAGACTCTCGGCTATGAGGAGTTTGTGGAGGCTCTTCTTCGCCTTCACGAAGAGTCTTCCGGTGTTGACCAAAGCCGCAAGGACTTTGGCCTCCCTAAGAACATGGATTCTGGTTGGGATGAATGGGGCGAGTCCTGGTCAGATTGGGACTATCAGCCCGTCACCGAAGAGATCCCCCCTTGTGCGATTGGTCACCGACAAGGAGCGCCTGATCTTCAAGATTGGTGGCGCGAAAAATCCCTCTCGATGGCGATCCCTCGCTGATGTACTACCAAAACGTGAGTTCGTGGACATGATCGACCAAGCTCCCAAATCGGATGAGCTTGAACTTCCTGACTTACCACCCGAACCCGACAAATCCACGATCATCATGTCAAGCCCACTCATCGCATGAAGACCAAGGGTGCCTTGGACATCCGACCTGACCTACCCAACGAATCCGTCAAGACAATTAGAGAGTCCCACGGTAAAAATTAACTTTCACGGCAATTCCCATTTCGCGGCAATTAGTGACTTCTTAATAGACTTGCAAAATTAACTTTTCACGGCAACGGCAACGGCAACGGCAAAAAAACGCGGCAACAAAAACGGCAACGGCAACGGCAACGGCAACGGCTATTTTGGAAGTAGTTACTGCGAAACTACTGCACTGGAGCTAATTCCGCAGTAGTTTGGAGCTAACTACTGCGAAACTACTGCGCTGAGATAATTTCGCAGTAGTTTGGAAGGAATTATTGCGAAACTACTGCACCTTGGCAAACAGCCACGGCAACAGCCACGGCAATTTCCCCGGTAAAAAATTAACTTTTCGCGGCAACGGCAACGGCAACGGCAACGGTAAAAAAACTGCCCACGGTAAAAAATAACTTTCACGGTAAAAAATGTCTTGCCCCCGCTAATTGTCTTGACGGATTCACAGGGTATGCCCAAGGCCAAGGTCGCTCGCACTGGAGAGCCCGAGCCTTCCCCAAGTGCTCCGAGATCTACTTCCACAGCAATGCCCACACAGTCAGTGTCACCCGCCGGAGAGGTCAATGAGTACGAAGAGGATCCTGATCTTCGTCGGGAACTCAAGAAGGCCCGCATCGATTCAGATGATGCCCTATGGCTTCAATCCTTGCAGGAGGACACCATCGACCTTCACACAGCTCTCATGGACACCGAGCAAGTGATGGTGATGGAGTTCAACCTGGAGTTTACCAGTAACCGTGAGAAGAAGAACTTCATTCGCGATCCTCACCTCGTCAAGCAAATGCGGAGCAGCGAAGTCAACCTCAAGAAGCTCACACCACAACTACGCGAGTTGTTCCACCGTGCCAAGGCCAAGGAAGTCAGCTGCTTCCTCAAAAATGAAGCTGTTCGCAAGTGCCTGGATAACAAGGAGATCCAGGAGGCCTACAACTCTGGGCGCATCATGCGTGCTCGCTGGGTCCTCACGTGGAAACTGGTTCCAGATGAGGAACATCCAGAAGCCCTCCGAGATGCCATGTCCAACGCGCAGACCATGGTCACACCTGACGGTCGCAAGAAAGAAAGGCCCGCATCGTGGTGCTCGGAATTGAACACCCCGATCTACTGGACCCTTCCTTCCGCACATCCAGTCCGGTTCAAACCAACCTCGGGAGGAACCTCCTGTACCTCATGACCTGCCAGCACGGTTGGGAACTTGAAGGTCTTGACCTTGCCACGGCATTCTTGCAGACCCAGAAGACCGAGGAGGATAAGAAACTCTGGACCTACGGAACTGAAGAGCTTCGAGAAGCCCTAGGCGTTGGTTCCGAAGGCATTCTTCGCATCCTGAAGAACGTGTACGGCTCCACCACGGCACCCCGTGGACTTTGGCAGGATCTCCATGCAACCTTCAAACGTCTTGGTGGCATCTCCCTGACTTCGGAGAGATGCATGTGGGTATGGCTTTCGCAACATCAGAAAGACCAACAAGGCCGACCTCTCGTCATTGGCGCCATGGGTGGCCATGTAGATGATTTCCACAGGACCGGAGAAGTCCAACCCTGAATAGAATGAGGTCTGTCAGCAGGTTGACCGTGCCTACGTCTGGGGTACCATCAAGCGTGGAGAATATCGCCACGGTGGCACCGACCTCGTCATCGGCAAGGATGAAAACGGTGACACCACGATCACTGTCGACCAACAGTACTACATCGAGTCTCTCCAGGACGTGAACATACCTCCCGAACGTCTTCGTCAAGTGGATTCCGTTCTGGATTCCAACGAAGTTGGACACTGCCGAGCTACCCTGGGAGCCCTGCAGTGGGTTGCGGTGCAAACTCAACCACAGCTCAGTGCGAGATGCAATCTCTTGCTCACCGAGGTGACCGTGAACCCTTCGACCTCTGTTGCACGAGAAATTCAACAAATGGTGTGTGAGGTCCGCAGGAACCCCGTCAAGCTGGAATTCTTCAAGCTGCCTGGAGTCCAACTTTGGACCGACGTAGTGTTAATCACCATGGGTGACCAAGCTCACGCCAACCGACCTCAAGGAGATAGCACTGGCGGCATGATCGCCGTTGCTTCAGGCCCACGAGCAATCACTGGCGCTCCCACCAAGATGTGTCTTTTGACCTGGCGATGCTGGAAACTCAAACGCAAGGCCATCAGCTCGAACGACGCCGAGGTACAAGCCATGGTCGAATCCGAGGACAACAACTTCCGGATGCGACTTCTTTGGTGCGAACTTCATGGCCAGTCCACCCACCAGCACCGCGACACCGACAAGGTCTCTGCCGGCGAAGAGGTGGTCAAGCTTGTCAAGGGCGTGGTCGCTACAGATTCCCGAGGTGGATACGATGCTGTGACTCGCCATGAGTCCCCGATGCTTGGGCTCTCCAATATGAGAGCCGCTCTTCAAGCCTTTCAAGTGAGAGAGAGTTTGGATCGCACCCTCACAGAGCTTCGCAGGACTGCCTCGGACTATGACTTGGGCGATGCCTTGACCAAGAAGGCACCATCATGCAGGGCCGGGTTACTGCAGTTTCTGAAGACCTCAGTGTGGTCTATAGCCTTCGACCCCAGCTTCCAGAGTGCTCGCAAGAATGCCAAGGCGGGCAAGTCAGCGCTGCAGACTCTGCAGAATCCCTCGTCTACCTCAACGGCCCGATCCCGAGGAAATCCAACCACGTCATCAACTGAGAAGGATTTTGTGCCCATGCAACACGGGCATTTAGAGGCTCATCAGTTGATGCCATGCATGTAGATTGTCCAGACATCAGTCTTGACCCTTCCGCAGCTGAAGGGCCCTTTTGCTTGTAGCCGAGCCAGACATTGGCCACGACCCCTAGTCAGTCAGCTGCACAGGCGGCTTGAGAGGAAACAAGGCTTGGCGCCATTCGCTCCCCGCGCTACTCCCGCTGCAGAACCCTCCAAACAAGGGACCTGCTTCCTGAGTGAGTTTGCAAGCTCTTGGTGAACGAAAACTCCTGTCAGCACGTGTTTTTGTGATCTAAGGACATCGTTCATGCCTCCGTGGGACCTCCTGGTGGTGGCCGCAAGGAGATCTCGGCGCTTGAAGAGGCACGGACTGGCCTGGGAAGGGAGACCAAAGTTTTGAGTGTGAGTGAGAGTGAGTGAGGGTAATAGAGTGAGAGAGCGTGGGAGTGAGGTAGAGTGAGAATGACTGAGAGTGAGAGAGTGAGAGTGAGAGTGAGTGTGAGAGTGGGGTAGAGTGAGAGAGCGTGAGAGTGAGTCAGAGAGTGCGTGAGAGAGTGGGAGAGTGAGAGTCCGAGTGAGAGTGAGTGAGTGAGTGAGTCAGTGAGTGAGTGAGTGAGTGAGTGAGTGAGTGAGTGAGTGAGTGAGAGAGTGAGAGAGTGAGAGAGTGAGAGAGTGAGAGAGTGAGAGAGTGTGTGTGTGTGAGTGAGTGGTGTGAGTGAGTGAGTGAGTGAGTGAGTGAGTGAGTGAGTGAGTGAGTGAGTGAGTGAGTGAGTGAGTGAGTGAGTGAGAGTGGAGTGAGAGTGAGAGTGAGAGTGAGAGTGAGAGTGAGTGAGAGTGAGTGAAAGCGAGTGAGAGTGGAGTGAGAGTGGAGTGAGAGTGAGAGTGAGAGTGAGTGAGTGAGGGTGAGTGAGAATGAGTGAGAGTGAGCGAGAGCAAGTGAGAGTGAGTGAGAGAGAGTGAGTGAGAAAGAGTGAGTGAGTGAATGAGTGAGTGAGTGAGTGAATGAGTGAGAGTGAGAGTGAGAATGAGCGAGACTGAGAGTGAGAGAGAGTGAGAGTGAGAGTGAGAGCGAGAGTGAGAGTGAGAGAGAGAGAGAAAGCGAGAGTGAGAGTGAGTGAGAGTGAGAGTGAGTGAGAGTGAGAGAGTCAGAGAGTCAGAGAGTCAGAGAGTGAGTGAGTGAGTGAGTGAGTGAGCGAGCGAGCGAGCGAGTGAGTGAGTGAGTGAGTGAGTGCGTGAGTGAGTGAGTGAGTGAGTGAGAGCGTGGGAGAGTGAGTAACTTGAGTGAGATGTGAGTGAGTGAGAGTGAGTGTGAGCGCGAGTGAGAGTGAGTGAGAGTGAGAGTCAGAGTGAGAGTCAGAGTGAGAGTCAGAGTGAGAGTCAGAGTGAGAGTCAGAGTGAGAGTCAGAGTGAGAGTCAGAGTGTGTCAGAGTGAGACAGAGAGTGCGTGAGAGAGTGAGTGAGAGTGGGAGAGTGAGTGAGAGTGAGAGGGAGTGAGAGTGAGAGACACAGTGAGGGAGAGAGGAGAGTGAGTGAGCGTCAGTGAGAGTGAGAGTGAGAGTGAGAATGAGTGAGGGTGAGAGTGAGAGTGAGAGTGAGAGTGAGAGTGAGAGTGAGTGAGTGAGAGTGGGAGTGAGAGTAGAGTGAGAGTTGGAGCGAGACTGCGAGTGAGAGAGAGTGAGAGCGAGAGCGAGAGTGAGAGTGAGAGAGAGAGAGACAAAGTGAGAGTGAGAGTGAGTGAGAGTGAGAGTGAGAGTGAGTGAGAGTGAGAGTCAGAGAGTCAGAGAGTCAGAGAGTCAGAGAGTTAGAGAGTCAGGTCAGAGAGTGAGTGAGTGAGTGAGTGAGTGAGTGAGTGAGTGAGTGACTGAGTGAGTGACTGAGTGAGTGACTGAGTGACTGAGTGACTGAGTGACTGAGTGAGTGAGTGAGTGAGAGCGTGGGAGAGTGAGTAACTTGAGTGAGATGTGAGTGAGAGTGAGTGAGAGCAGAGTGTTGCAGACTGAGTCATAGAGTGAATGAGAGAGTGACCGAGACAGTGAGTGAGACAGTGAGTGAGAGAGTGGGAGAGTAAGTGAGAGTGAGAGTGAGTGAGAGAATGGGACAGACAGTGAGTGAAAGAGTGGGAGAGTGAGTGAGCGTGAGTGAGAGTGAGTGAGAGTGAGAGTGAGTGAGAGTTAGTGAGAGTCAGAGTGAGAGGGAGAGGTGTCAAACTACATACTTCACCACTTGCATTTGTGTTGCGTGTATGTGTACTACCGCAGGCCTTGAGCCTCAGCCCGACTACACCTGGAGAAAACAAAAGGCTGCAGCAGACTACATTTGTTTATGTTAAACAGCAACATCGCACTGGCACTTGTAGTAATTGTTACTCCGATTTTAACGTGGTAGCGGAGCTGGGATCCTAAACATAGGGGAGCTCCAGTATTCAGCAGTAAGTACTACAACAACTGCAATAGCAACCACATGCCAAACCACCACGACATGTCAGGAGAAGCAGCATCAGCCTCTCATCAAAATTATAAGTTTGTGTCGCTTTATCATTTGGTAGGTCTGTTTGTGTTGCCTTGATTTCTTTGTTAAGCGTTTGTGTTGCCTTGTCTGCCATCATAACTTTTGCGTTCATATATCTTTCTTTATTTTTATAATTCATTAAATCCGTTTTATCAAAATCAAAATTATTCAATAACATTCCTTTCTTGTATTTCTTCAATATAATTGTTGTTTTTTAGTTTGCTTGTGATTGCTTGTTTAAGCATTTCATCATAAGTAGGGCGTTTCCTTAACTCGTGTTTTAGATTGTTAATCATTTTATATAATCGATGATAAATTATATAAATGATTTAATCCTTTGTTGCTTTACCTTTTCCTTTCATACTTCTCCAATCTTCCATTCTTTTTCTTAACAATTCATCATTTACTTTCGTCGTCCATTTCCCTATTGAAATCAAATTCTTCAACTACATCAACTAAATATTGTTTCTTGGATTGGTCTTTGCCCTTTCCTTTTGTTTTTAAACTGTCATACTTTGCTTGTTGTTCTGGTATCATTTGAAAGCCTCTTAAATGTAGTTGAAAAAAGATATCATCTGTGCTAATGTCTCTGTGTTTCCACCTGTCTATGTCTGTGTTGTAATCTATTGTTTCTCTTGCTTTTCTTGATTTAGGTGGTGCTTTCGTGCTTGCATAATCATCATCATTTGTTTGTCTGCCTATGTTTTCATTTTCTCTTGTCATTAAACCTCTTTGTGCCCCTTGTATCCGTTTAACTGCTTCATCCTTTGTAACAGTAGGTTCTAACGGTGGTAAGTCATCATCGCTTGATTTAGCAGTTGCCATTGATTGAACCTCTGATGGAGTATCATATTTTGTTCTTCTCCAATCTGTGGCTACCTGTGCCCTTTCGTGTAAATCATCTAAAAATTGTCGTCTAACATCTTCTGACATTTGACTTGTTTGTTGTTCGTGTTGTTCCTCGGCATCGTCCATTGTGGCACTTAGTGTTTGTATTGCTCCATCTCTTAAATCATCCATTTCATCGTCCTTTGCCATATCAAACTGCTCGACTGTCTTAGGTGTTTCTAACATTTTTTGAAAGTGTTGTTGTCTCAAACCTACGGTATTATTATCATAAACTGTACCTAATGGACTGTCACGAAAATAATAAGCGTTTCTGTCTATTACATCTCTTATATTCTTATTTCTATATTCTTCCTTTGTAATTTCCTTGGTGAGTTCATTATAAGACGGTCTTAATCTCAATTGTGATTTTAGCGTTTTCATCTGTGCATTTTCTAATCTCATTCTTATATGAAATTAATTAGATATAAAATTTATTAATCTAATATAATTAATTTGTTAAAAATCAAAATCTTGTCTTAATTGGTTAATTATTCCTTTCTTCTTCTTAATCATTTCCGAATAGGTTTTACCTGTTTCACTTGATGGATGATGTCTCAATTTTTCACCTTCCAACCTTTGGATTTCATTAAAATACGCCTGTGCTTCATCTTGATATCTTCTTCTATCTTGAAATATAGCGTAATCTTTTTTAGCGTTATGAAATTCTAACTGTTCCTTCATTTCTTTCAGATATGTATAATTTGGTTGATGTGCTTTGTTGTCTCCATCGTAATAGTAATGGACATTAGATTTATATTTTTTACTTGGTTTTGTTATGGGATTGTAAAATTTGTTTGATGTTGGTAATCTACCTGCTTTACCATTCTTTGTAAATGTTGATGTTATATTTTCAAACTCTTGTCTATTAGAAAGCATTATATATTTTAATTAGATTAAACAATTTTACTTGCTAAATTAGTAATTTTCTTTTTATTTTTATTATCTCGCTCTACCTTCATATTATTATGTCTATCTTTTGCAGTTTCAAACACTTTATTAGCAGTTGTTTCTAAATGCTTTTTCAATCGTTCTTCAACTCTTCTTTCTATTTTCTTGTTCATCCACTTTTGGAATATTATCTTTAACTTTTTCATACACATTATTCTCAAATTCTTTTGCTTGTGCAGGATGCATAATTTTTCTACGAACAACTTTGTTAGGGTCTGGTTCTTTTTTTGAACTGGTATTCCATTACAGTTATGACGATATTTGAAAGTGTATTTTGTTAAACACTTTTTACACTTTGGACACTCCACTTTTTCAGTTGAGTATGTTTTAGACTTTAGTTCTTGCTTTGGTTGGTGTTCTTCTTCTTCTTCTACTTTATTATTTTCTTCATTTATAATATTAATAGTTTCTACTTCTTTACTTTCTTCATTAATAATAGGTTCTTCTTTACTTTCTTCTACTGCTTTAGGTGTTTCATTTTTTTCACTGCCTACATCTACTATTTCAAAAAAATAAATAATTATTTTAAAATATTTATTATATGCTTTTCAACTCTCAAAAAATGTTAAACTAAAACTACTGTCTGCACCGTGTAAATCTATGGTTTTACCAAAACTATCAACATATTTGAAATGAAGGCGACGCAAATGACGCATACTAACATCATTGGCATCGTTTAACAGAACCTGATTATCATAGATTACATTACCAAATCCAGCAGTAATAGAATTTTCTTTAATACACTGGCAACTCCATAAGGTGCTAATTGGTTTCCATTTGTTAAACTATCACTGGTTAAGTAAATATTTTTCATTGGCAATAAATTAACAAAACCACTAACGAAAGGGTCAGGCGCAAAATTGATTTTTCAACAGTGTTTCCTAAAACATTGTTAATAGTCATTGTGTGACTTCTGTCATAATCAACACTAAAACCATAGTTAGTTTGCAATTCTTTATCTGTATGAATTATGAAAAAGTAAGCAACATAATTACAACTTATAGTTATAGTATTTGTTT